TCTCCCAGGTCTCTGTGCTTCCATATTTCTTCTCATATTCACCTGGAATTATTTAATCCCTATTTTCCACCATACTACAAATGTCAAGAAAATAGGCATTTTACGAATCTTGTTCATCTCTGTACCCTGAGTGGCTCCTACAATGTCTATACCTAGAAAACACTTAACATGTATTTGTTGACCAAATAAATCTAGTCCAGACTCACTGTAGAAATGGAAATATGGAGGCACATAGAGAGGAAGGGATTTACTTAAGGTCACACAGAGACTCAGTGGAAGAGAAAAGATTGTAGCCCAGTTGTGCTGACTTGTGATACAGTGCTCTTTTCCATACATGCAGTTCTACTACAGTATTTGTTTCTTGTACATGCTTATGGATTAGTCTGACTCCTGGACTAGGCTGTACATTCTTTGAGGACAGGGGTCACCTCTTATACCTGCGTTGTCCAGTATGGTAGCTACTAGCTACATGTGACAATTGAACTTGGAAACATAGGTAGTCCAAATTTTAATGTACAGGAAGTGTAAAATAAATACCACATTACAAAGCCTATGAAATACATCATGATTTTTTACATTGCTATCAGTTTAAGATAATATTTTAGATGTATTGGGTTAAATAAAATATATTATCAAAATTACTTTCACCCATTTATTTCTGAAAATTTTAATGTGGCTATTAGAAAATTTGTGGCTCACATTACATTTCTATTAGATATATATTACTACTCTGTTGTATATTTCTTTTTCCCATTTAGTGCCAAGCATAAAGCTTGTAGCCAGTTGTAACTCAACACACTGTTGTTGAATGAAGTTTAACTGTAGTTTATAGGTTAATTGTTGCCAAATACCTTGTCAATATCACTGGGTTTGTGAGGAACCTCACACTGAACCCTCTGTCCCCAGGCCCAGATGTACATGAAGTTCTTCAACCTTGGCCTGGGGTGCCCTATACATTGCATCAGCCTTTGGGTTTCCTTTCAGAGGAAGCCCCATTGCAATCATATGTACAGCAATAACCAGAGTTGAGGTGGAGTGTGTGGACACCAGCCTCTTGCACAGGAAGTGGTCTCAGCTTTGCAATTGTCCTTGGGGCCTTTTCTTTGCAGGCTTCTGATAGGAGGTGGGGGTAGGTGAGCAGGAAGATGAACTCAAAGTTGAAGGGGGGCTTTCTTAGTTCCTTCATGGAAGAGAGGTAAGCTATGGAAAATGGGGTTTTTGGGCTAGGGAGTTTGCCTGCATTTACTTGTGCACCAACACATTCATTTGTTCAATTCAGAATCTGGGGCAACTATTTTTCTCCTGGCCCTGTGAAAAAAGGAAAGAATCAGACATAGTCCCTACTTTGCAAAGTTCTTGGCTTCTGGTGAGAGACAGGTACATAAGTCTGCAGAATGGACAGTTTTTAAAGACTAGAAGTGGGCAGAGCAGGGATTTTGCTGAGAGGAGTAGTCAGAGAAGGCTTTCCAATCACAGTGAACATTGCTATTTTTTTTCTCTCTATCTTTTAAGATCTAGCTAAAATCCTACTTTTAAAAGAACGTTTCTAAACATTACCACCTTTTCACCCTCTGCCCTGGAGAATCATGCCTTTCTTACTAACATTTCTTATAGTACTTTGTACCTTTGTCAAATAAATCGTCTCATTCTATAGAGACATAGTTCCTTAGGTTCATGCCTGTATTCCTCTCCCCTCTGGCCCAAGAATCCCTCTGTGATGTGATAGCTGAGGCTCAGACAGGCTGTGCATTCCCTTGATTTTCAATGGAATTTAATTAATGAGTTATAGAGCTGCGTCTAAAAGCCAGGGGCTATAACCTAGGTTCTGAGACACGGGGAATCTGACTAAAAAATTTAGTGTTTTTTTATTCTAGCACTGAGTTAATAAATGAATGTGTCTACAGTGTGGGATCTAAGCACTGCCTTCCTGAGCCCCCATCCAACTATTTTCTTCCTCATCCCCCTTTATAAGCATAGCCAACTCAGAGAGCATCCAAAATGGGGACTCTGTGTGCTTTGGATGGACAACAGACCAAAAGGATAAGTGCCCTTTGTGCTATTGCTGCAAACTTGGCCCTTCCTACCATTGTTTGTGTTTGTGAGGTGAAGAAGAACTCCAAGGAACCCAGTACCTTTTGCACTTATTTAGGCCTTCTGCATAGGTAGAATGATTTACAGGTCCTCCTGGCTCCTACTGCTCTCTTTTATAGACCTATTGTGAGGCCCAAAGTAGCCATTGTTAATTATTGCTTTAGGTGAAGACAATGTTTCCAGAAAGCCCCTGTTAAAAAAACAAACCAGTAGAGTACTTTAACTTATAGGTGGGGAATAAGAAAAAGTATGTAGATTAATTTAATCACTATATTGTGAACAGAAACAAGAAATTTCTCCTTGAGAAATTGCCCACAGTACAATACTTCTTCCACCCTAAACTTTAGTAAGAGAGGGGAAAAAAGGAACTGAATCTCTCTAGAAGCCAGATGTGGAGAAACTGGTCATGAGAACTAAGCCACTACATTATTCTGGTAGGGAAGTTTTCTGTAGAGTAGTATGAATGTAAGTGAATACATAACCTAGCCTGTCCCTAGAGCCTCTAGGCCCTCACAGGAAAGCCTACTGTGAGGGGGCAGGGATGGAGGGTTTATAAAGGAACCAGGAAATGTTTGAGTTGAAGAAGCCATGGAGATCATCTAATCCAACTTCAGTTAGTTAAATGGAAAACCAAGGCTAAGGGAGGGAACACAGTTGGCAGATCTGGGAGTAGGGCACAGAACTCCTGCTTCCTGGGATATGTTCTTTTTTTTTTTTTCTCTTGAACCTGAATTTGTAAGACTGTATGAGACATGTCCAGAAAGTATCCAGCAAGTATGATGAAAAACACATTTATTGAAGAAGATACAAGATACAAGGAACATTATACATAGACAATGATGACTCAGTCCCCTTCAAAGTTGGCACAGTAGGGCCTCACACAGTTCTCTCAGCATTATGATATTCTTGAGGAAACCTGGTTCATTGGCAGAGGTTTGAATCAAGTTATTACCAACTGCAATATGATGTTCCTTCTGCTCTGGTAGCGGAAGCCATGGATTGAATTTTGCCACAACGTGTTTTAAGGCAAGATCTTGTGTCAAAAGCTCAGACACAGTAGGTTTTGGAAGCCCCAGATCAGCTTCTAGTTCTCACGCTGTCAGTCACCAATGTTCATTGACTGTAGCCTGTAAATGTTCAACATTCTCAGATGTTCTACCTGTTGCAGACCTTCCAGAACGTGGGTCACTTTCAACAGATTCTTAACTATCTTTGCAGCATTTCTGCTACACTTTTATTTGCACGGCGCTCATTGCATCGTCCCTGAAAGCCTTCTGAATCATCCAAATAATTTCTGTAGAGGAATGTTTAAGCTTCACGCAAAATTTGATACAGATTCATTGCTCTACTTGGTCAATCATTTTGAATGTGATGACCACACAGTACACATGCTCACTCAATAGCGTGTACTGCCCCCACTGACCAGTACAGTGTTGTCATTGTTCATGCATGCACATTCCAGTCCACTCTCCTTGGCTGCCAGATTACATGGATGTCACGCAAACCATTCTCGTTATATTAACAATGGTCAGACTTTTTCTGGACAGACCTCATATGTAGCTTGGGTAGAGTATTCACAGGTGCTTGAGTACTTCCTGAAATCCTACATCTGCTGTACAAGCTAAGGACTGGGACTTGGGCACTGCAATCATTGAAGGTGATCCCAAGCATACTGTTAAAGCATTGCAGTAATTGCCTCTCCCATCTGTCATGTCATCAGGATTCACAATGTAGAGCACTGCATAATGAGAATCAAGCACCTTCCTAACCATGAATGGGGGCTGCCCAAAGATTGCAAACACAAGATGCTGTAAAGCCACTCATTTTCTTCTCATACCTTTCATGTCTTGTATGAAATCTGAAAGTCATAATTAAGGGTCTGGTACCATCTCTTCCTTCTCAATGTCAACTACTTTTCTTTCTTCTCTTTGTACCCAACATGGGAGAGTAGAAAAAGCCTAACATTTGGAGCCAGAAAGAAATGCTTGCAGATGCCCCTTTCTACATTATTTCCTAGTTTTTTATCCCTAGGCAAGTAATTTTACTTCTATGTGCCTCAGCTTCCTCACCTATAAATAAGGGTAATGAAAACACCATTCACATAATTGTTGATTAAATGAGATAATACATGTAAAGCACATACTAAGTTCTTTAATATATATGAATTTCCTTCCTTGTCTACATTTATGACTCTTGGATACCAGAAGGTGGTCAGAGCAATGCTGTCAGGGCCAGTTTAATAGGCATGTGAGCTGTAAAGTTCCATAGGGACCAATGCTTACAAAGACCCCATACTCGGCTTAATGTTCTGCTGTTGCCATCTTGAAATTCTTACTTTGTTTTAAAATAAGGAGCCCTTCATTTTCATTTTGGACTGGGCCTTGCAAATTATGTAGCTGTTCCGGAGGGGATAAAAAGGGTATTTCTGCTGCTAGTAGGCATTTTGACAAAGTGAGAGAACCCATGATTTGGAGTTGATAGAAATAGATTTGAATTCCAGCTATGCCACTAATTTTCTGTTTGTTATCAGACATTTTCTTTCATCCCTCAGAAGCTCAATTTCTCAATTTGACAATAGGGATTTTCATTTGATAATGTCTCAGCTATGATATTCTAGGATTCCCTCAGTAGCTCTGGAGAAGCTCCTTGGCCCATAGGCAGAGCCAGGGTAGCTAGGGGCTTTTTTGCTTCGATTCTCTGCAACTAGGAGAGCCAGTGTCTTTTGGAGGTTGTTGGGAGTGGGCGGGCACATGGCAGTGGGGACTGTTGCTGCACTAGTGGATCCTTTCACAACAGCACTGTTTTGTCATTTTGCACCCAGATTTCCGTTGGCTAACCTCAGCCTTATCTTCCTCATTTCTGTTTCCTCTTGAAGACACCAAGGGCCCTTCAAAACACACGATGATCCTGCTCACCACATAAAGTCCAGTTCCCTCTGGCCTCTGTAGGTTGGCTATCACCAAGGAACCTGTGCCTCCTCTGAGACAAAGGCACCACTTCAGTAACAGGTATAGTATCCATTTGCCTTCTCTTCTTGGACTCCCAACCTGGGCTAGTGTCTATGGCTACTAAACATGGCTTGGACCTGTCCATTTCATTCTCCTTGAACCCTCATCAGGGATCTTGAGTTAAGGACTGGGGAGAAGAAGGTTCTCATTGGTTTTCTATCCTGGAGCTTCTAATAGTGAGAATGAAGGATGATATTTTTCCCCCAAACATTCTGTTTAGGAAATACCCACATGGAAATGAAATATTTCCTACTACTCTGTAAGTAGGAGTCAAGATATTTGAGTAGCAGCCCTGGTTTGCCATTTACCCACTGTATCTTTGAGCAAGTCTTTTTTCCATTCTATGACTCAATATTTTGGCCTCTTTTGCAAAGAAGAGGAGGGGAAGGATGAGATGGATTTTGTCTGGACTCTTTTAGTTTTTATATCCCTTATTTTGATGATTGTCAGCCCTCTGTTGACAAATGAGAATGATACTAAGTAAATATCTCTGGGTGGGGTTGAACAGGCTGCTGTGCCATGCTTAAAAAAATCCAGACTGCCCCTAGTATGAGAAGGCCCAAATGAGTTAGTTGCAGGGCAGGTCCTGCTGCTTGGTGTATTAGCCCTTCTGGAGTGGAGCAGGGGATAAATGATGATATTTTATATAGAATGATGGGCCAAGAAATGAATTTTGGGAATTTTTCAATATGTCTTCATATACGTATTCACCTCTTCTTCCTCTGGGTCTAGCCAGCTTTTCTCAAGTGAACCACTTTTCTTATATACACTTTATTGGAGAAGCATGGACATCAAGAGTGGAAATACATATTGGTTTTAGATCAGCTACCAACTTCTTCCGTTCATAGTGGGGTTATATGTTCTATAAGGCTCTTCAGTTTTTAGTGTACTAAGAAGGAATCTTTACTTCCCTCACATTGGTTTTCCTTTTTGACAGTCATAAAAGATGTTCAGCAAGCTTGGATTCCTCCAGTTTATCCAGGTCTTCTCCCTGGGGTTGGTAACCAATGAGGGTAATGATTGAAGAAAGGCACCAGTTGCCTCTGCCCTGCTACCCTGAATTCAAATTCTATTAATCAGCTTCCTTAATTGGCCAGCTCCAGGGAATGAGCCAAGGTACCAATGGACTACTTTTTGGGAAGCTCTGGAAAGCTCACTGAACAGTTTTCTAACAACTCTGCCAGGTAAGTCTTCTTGTCCCCAGTTCTAGAGAAGAAAACTGAGGCCCAAAGAAAGACTTTCCCAATTCCATGATTGGCTAGTTGGTGCCCAAAGCACTATTAGAATTCAACATTGTCTGATTCTTTCCACTCTACCATATCCATTGGCAATGATCGCTGCTTTGGCTAAAAAAAGCCACACTTCTGAGTGGCTTGGGATAAATTGTGTAGGTAGCATGAAAAATGGAGGAATGGAAAATACATTTTAGATCCTTAGGTTTGAAATCAGTCTAAGATCTCAATTTAGAAGGGCATGTCACCCCCTCACCAGCATACATTCAACTGAAAGAGTTAATAAAATAAAAACATACTTTTTTTTTCTGAAAGAGAAGCCTTCTGACTTGTTTTAACTGGGATAGGACCTTATGGCCTCATGAGGCAGTTTTCTATTCTTGATAACCTTGGAATGTGTACCACTTTTCATGTCAGTATTTAATATTGCCAACTACTTTCTCACAGATCAACTGCCACTGCTAAGAAGAGGGTAAATTTGACTCAGACAACTGGAATATTTAGCAATAGAATCTGGGTGTTGTCAAAGGAATTCTCCCAGGATTTCCAAGCCTATCCATTCTCCTGGCAGCTTCCTTATTTCTCCTATGGTTGTGGGTTGAAGTATTCCAATGCCTCACTGTGGAGACAACTGCCTGTCCTTTTCCTTTCTTGTGGGTGTATCCACTTTTTCCCAGAGGGACAAGTACAGGAAGGAGGTGAAATGATTGATGAGTAAATCTGGAAGGCAAAATGGGTTGGTATATGGCAAGACTCCAAACTGAACAACTTGTATGAACTTTAGAAACTTTCTTTCCTAACATAAGCCTCCATTTTCTCATTTATAACATGAGTAGATGAGACTAGATCCTAGTTCTTTTTATAGCTGCCTTTCTGGAGTCTTGATGGTACAAGGTGATCACATTAGGTAAGGCTGAGGCTCTCAGAAATTTGTGTTTCATCTGTCCTGACCTTGTTAAATCAATTGTCACTGACCCTTGCTTTCTTTTTGTCAGCACAACCACCATTTTTTGAGAACTTATGTATCAAATACTGAACTAAGGACTTTAAAGCACATTATCTCATGTCATTCTCACTTTAACTTATTAGGTACATAGTGTACTTATACACATTTTGAGGATGTGGAAAAATAAGTTCAAAGAAATGAAATTATTTATCCAAGGTTTCTCAGATAATTAATGGCAGACCCAGGATTCAAGCCCATGATTGACTTCAATGCTGAAGTTCATACCCACAACACTGTAGAACATTGTCTGGGAGGGCTGGGTAGATGGGACATGACACCAACTCTGGGACCTGGTTCCTTCCTGAGGGGAGTGAAGCAGGATGATAGCCAAATTGTTCTCTCTGTGCTACATAGAAGATCCCACTAAAGCTCAAGACCCCCAACATGCTATACCTATAAGACTCAGGCCTGAGGAATCCCCAGCTGAGCACTGGGGCCTCACCTGAACTCTCAATGGAGTGTTCCCTACTTACCCTCAGATCCTTCTTTTTCTTCTTCTTTTTTTTCTGTCAACAGACAGTTTATTCTATAGATCCCTCTTTTGATTAGAAGCTTTATGTCTATTTTACTCACTTCCTTATTATGGTGCTTCAGCTAATCCCAACAGCCTGTGAAGTTTCCCTGAGGTTCAGGGTGTGACTCTTTTTCTTTCTCTCTAGGGCCGCATCTCCTACGAAGATCTCGCCTCCCCACTGAAGACCCTGGCCCAGCCTTCTGCAGTGCCACACTCCGTGTATTTGACAAGCTGAGTTGGACACTCCGTGTGGCAGAGTGTCAGTTTGTCAAATACCCCAAGTGCGGCATGTGCCTAGCAACTTCAGGCCAGGGCACTTCAGATACAACAAATAGACTATCAGCTGGATAAGGAACATACGGAAAACACCAACTAAGCTCTCACAAGTTATTTTTGGTAACTTTGAGTGAATGTAAGCATTTTATCTGAGGTTACTAATGGAAAAATCAGGCAGCTCTGGGAGCCACAGTCCTGGGTGGGTTCTGCACACACTGTGGGAGTCTGAGGTGGGCACAGTTGTCTTAAAAAGGTATCCAGGGCCTGGAAATGTAAGTGCTACTTGATTCATTGTTTTTTCCTTCACATTCCCCTTCCAGCATCTGCCAGCAAAGACACCAGAAGTCTCAGACAAGTGCCATGGCAAGGCTTAGAAACCCACTTTCCTGAAAGCCAGCCTTGGCTCTAAACACGCTTTGACATCACCCATCTCTCTTTTGCCTCATGCTTTTTCTCCTGAGAATACCCTCTACATTTCTTTCTACCTATCCAATTCCTTTTCACATTTCCTTGCCTAGACAGAATCCAGTCTCTCAAGTGACTTTTGAAAGTCAAATTACACTTTCTTTTTTCATTCTCAAATCACTTTTTGCCTGGTTCCTTTTATGTACCCCTTTATCTCCTACTGCCTAATGATACCACTTGAATTGTTAGTGAACTTTTCCAGAGGATATTTTTGAATTCCCCACTAGGTTGTGTGCTTCTAGAGGACAAGACTGTGTTTCCTTGATTGCTGTCTCAATTCCACCCCAAACCCAACCACTAGCACAATGTTCTGGTTGTAGAAAATACTCAATAAATGTTCATTGATTGATTGGCTTTCCACTACTTCATTACCTTTTGGCCTTTGGGACACATGTCACCCAGGAATTATGTGAGGAAAAAAATTAAAGTGTGGTCAACATAATGCTATAGGACATGAAAGGTATAGCCAACATGAAGGGATTTTCTCCCTCAGAAATTGGGTCAAAGGCTGCAGAAGGAAGGCACAAAAATAGGCTCAGAGGGTAACTACATTTTAGAATTACTTGGCAACTAAAAGTTTACAGGTGCTTTATCAGAATTTTTCATAAACTTTCCTATTCTAATGCTGCATTAGAATTTTTCAAGAGGGAGGTATAGAATGAAGTATTTCCCATACCTCTCTGATTGTGAAATTTTTTCCTGTGGACCATCTCCTGAGTCTACTATTCCATGGAACAAAATTTGGGAAGCTGCCCTAGGGGAACTTCATACCTCCCTGTCTTCTAGAGATCTCCTTTTTTAACTCCTGTACTTTCCCCTGACCAGCAACCTATCTAAGACAGGTCTTATGTTACCATCTCATTTTTGTTTATCCTTATCCTGCAGCTTTGGGGTAGCCCTATATCTAAGACTTCTTTCCTGGCTTGTCTAGTATGAAAAAAATGATCAGTTTGGGAACACAGATGATCTCCAGAAGTCTTGTTCTGCAATGAATATATTCTTGTAGGATTTCACAGATCTTACATTTGGTCTCTGTTCTACCCACTACTGACTTGATGTGTTTAATTTTAGGCAAATCACTTTTTCTCTTTGGGCTTTCTTTCCTCATCTGCAATATGGGAGAATTAGAATCAATAATCTCCATGTTTTCCAAGAGAAGAGACTGAGATATCCCTGGGGGTCCATAGCTTCTATGGAGGGGGTAGTCCCTGGAGTTGGGGCTACTTTTACTAAGGAACATGCAACTAGGATTCTCTTCCCAACCTCAACAGTAGAAATAAATAATGGCTATTTTCAAAGGCTGTGGTGTCTGGACACAGAGCTGTTTCATGAAGAAAGCTGAGGTTTCTACTGGGTGGGGATCCTGTTTCAAGTGATTGTATGCATAACAGGGAAGAAGTTGCTCCTTTCACAAGCTATGTGAAACTGGCATTTGGAGATAAGGAAAATGCTGAGTTTTTGACCATGGGCTTGACAATTTAAGGGTGGTGAAGTGAAGGACTCCTCCTTGTTCACTTTTGGTACTATTATGACTTCTGTAATCATCCCAAAGCAGAGAAGTTCCTGGTGAAACCTGAGCTGATCTTGGGGCTGTGTTGGAAATGAAAGTGGCAACGTGTCAGCTTCTATGATGAATGGAGAAGTTGATCTCACATGAATTTTATGAGGGAGAGGAAGCAGTGCTGAACTTTTCCAGAACAAGTCCTCAAAGAAGAGAATGATTTTTAAAGTATATGCATGTGCATGCACATGTGCGTGTACACACACACACACACACACACACACACACACACACACATTCCTATTTCCCACTCCTGCTTGAGGAGAGAGACTTATTTGCTCTGAACTCCACTCAACATTGAAAGAAGGGACCAGGTGATAGGGATGACCTATGAAGAATATAAGTATTTCAAGTTTTTTAGGGTTCCAGGAAGTGGAAATCCTTGAGGGTGGTGCATGTGTACTTTGGAAAGACGAGGGCCCCTTTATCTCTGCAACCACAGTCTCCTGAGATAGAATATGGGCTCCTTTTTTCAGGTTGCAATCAACCTGGTAAGAGTCATCCAGGGGGACCCTGCAGGATGATTGAGAAGGGAATAATGGAAGGCAGTTGAGTACTATTTTTCCAAAGATTCATTGTGTTTTAGCTTGGCCCACTGCTGAAGTGCTGAAGTGAGGTAAGGGTGGCATGGGTAGGAAGAAGAAAAACCAAAAAACAAAGGTGCTGTTTATACTCCCAGGGCCCCAATCATCTCAACTAGTCTCACTTTAATCATTCTTGGTAGGTGCTTGAGACAAGACCAATACAACCAAGGTTGCAATTATAATTAGATATTTATTGAACATCAGAAGAATATCAGAGCACTAGACTCACAGTAAAGAGAAGAACTGAACCTTGGCCTATTACATGACAATTTCAAGTTAAAACATAGCTTTGGAAAGAAGGAAGTGATTCTAGACATAACTGGTCTCCTGAGCTGGCAGAACTGAACCTCCCTCTGGTCTTCTGGTGAGAAGATGCCAAAGGTAAGTGGTGTCTTAGTGCTATGAGAATTTCCCTCTGGTGCTTGGAGAGATGCAGCAGAAGTCCCATGCAGGGATGCTAGAAGGCTCGGGACCTAACCCAGAAACAGGCTTGCTTGTGTGCCTGTGGCAACTTCTTAGGCAAAGCCAGTCACACTTAGGGATCCCAGTGTTGGCAGGTAAGACATGTTGGGCTATCCAGGAAGAGAAGAGAGACCATACAAAAAAACAGGAGTTAAAAGGCAATTATGTCAGCAACCCTGGCCTAGTATGGCAGTTTTAGCAGACACTCTTGCCCTCGGTGGTCAGAAGCTCATGATCCAGGGAAACTGTGTTCCGCAGGCAGTCATAGTCACCATTTGTCCTGGCAACGATCTGGTACTCCTGGTTCAGGCGGGGTTCATCAGAGTAGCCATTGCCCAGAGTCCAGGAAGCTGGATCTTCACTGTAGCAGCCACTTTCGAAGATGGGCACTCTCATTGTTTCATCAGGGTCACTGGCCTCCCTGGAATTCACCCTGTGACCCAAGAGCCCACCACACATAAGAAAGGACTTGAGGCTGGGACTCTGGTTTCCCACCTTTGTACCCCAATTCTTGTCAACTGATTCATAGGCTGTCACCCATACATTGTAGGAACAGAGGGCTAGTGGACCTGAATTATTCTGTGCATTTTGGGGGCCACTACAGAACTTCAGGGAGTGCTTCAGAAAGGGAAGAAATCTGTGCTGACCCTAAAGGCCTTTGTGCCAAACCCCCTTTCCTCCATGCCAATGACCTATAGAATTGAGGGCAGGGGAAGAGAAGATAAAAGAGGAGAGACTGTCTTACCTGAAGACTTCATAGACATGATCTAGAAAAGAAGGAGAAATCAGGTCAGAAATCTCCATTGGGAGTGGACAAGGGCTATGCATGGACTCTGGGTACCAGTCAAAGGTATGGGAAGAGGAGGCATAGAGAAGGATATCAATTATTTCAGCTTTCCAACAACTGGGAAGGTGAGTTGAAACAGGGATATAGATTTCTCAGGGAAAGGAACAGAAAGCACACCTGGTACTGTGACTCAGGACACTGGGCTGGAGCAGTTTCTTATTCAGGGCATTGGACCTGAATCCACTTCCCACCCAGGAGTCTTGCCTAAAATACCCAGGGAGTCCCTGTGAGAAACTTGGCAGCCAGGCCAGAGTCCAAACAGTAGGGGCTGATTAGTGTGAGATCAGGAACCATGGCCTACACCATTCCCAAATGCACTCATCCCATCCCTGCACCCAGGAAAGGTCCAGAAATGGGTCTTGAAGTGGGTTACCATTGCCCCCTAGGAGAAATATCTATATTCCATGCAAGTTTGGAATGTTTGGAATGTCTACATTCCACAGGCTAGTTTGGTACAAAGATGAATGTCTTTTTGTACTGTTCTCTACGAACTTACAATCTTTCAACTGGAAATGTGTGCATTACACCACAACAAATTATTTTATTGAACTCCAGGCTTTGAGTCCATAGGTTTTATTGCTATGTGTCATTACTGATAAACTTCATGCTTCTGCATTAAATCCCCTAAATAAATTGTAAGCAACTCAAAGCCAAAGATTATGACTTCTCCTTCTCTTTCATCCTTATTAGACATCTCATTACAGAGATGGCTGCACTATGTTGCATACCAAAGATTTGTAAATTAATTTTATAAGTGGTATTATTATTGTTGGCTTTCATGTCTGTCTTTACTTACCCTTACCTTCACTCCCAAACTAGGCTTGGAACTCTTTGAAATGCCTAACAAAATGCCTGATACAGAGTTTATACTCAACTATGCTGCTGAAATAAATGAATGGCCAAGAGTCACCCAGTCACACTCATAACTCACCCTGTTGGGACTTCTTCCTGTAGAACATGATATAAGCCATGCTGAAGACCACCATACAGCACAGGGAGATGATAAGAATTATGACAAATATAGGCAGGCCCTTTCCTAGAAAACAAAACAACACTAAGTGGTATTTGGTTAAAAATTTTTCCAGAAACTGAGATCCAAATAATCAGCCCACACTGACCCACACATCTTTCTTTTCATTTTCTATCTTCTCCTAAATTTCTAAGCTAGTCAGAGAGACAAACAAAATCCCACTCCTATGACAAAGACTTGAAAGAAGCTAGAGACTTCGTGTATAAACAAGTTCTTCCAAACCCACTGGTTGATGGCTCATACGCCTCATAGTCTTCCATGCTTTTCTTGGGACCAAGACAAGAGGTTTTCACCTTCTCTTAGAGAGGAGACAGTAGTACCCTAACTTATCAGCTTCACAAAAATGCTGAGAGTTTTGTTAATTACTTGTAACCATAAAATTCTTTCCTTTACACTCTCTGGCCAAGTACTCAGGTTTCTTTTTCCTCAAAATATATTTCCATGGAGTCTCCTGGGTTACCTATTCCAATCATGTCTACAAACTGAAGGAAATAACTAGACTGGGCTTCTAGTCCTGGATCTGTTATTTACTTGCTGTGTTGCTGTGGTAAGCAGAATATTGGTCCTCAAAAGATGTTCTTATCCAAATCCCCAGAATCACTGTTAGTTCATGTTGTAAAGAGAAGTTAATATTGCAGATTGATTTAAGGTTGCTAATTAGCTGACATTGAGATGGGGAAATTATCTTGAATTATCTGGGTGGACTCAACGTAATCACAAAGGTTTTGTAAAAGTGAAAGAGGGAAACAGAAAAAGAGGTAGGAATCAGAGATTTAAGGAAGGAAATTTGCTACTTTTAAAAATGGTGTGAGGGGGCCAAGAGCCAAGAAATGTGGGTCATTTTTAGAAGATGAATAGGGCAAAGAAACTGATTCTGTCACAAAGTCTCCAGAAAGAGCACAGCCTTGCTGACATCTTGATTTTAGCTAAGTGTTTCAGACTTCTGATCTCTATAATTGTAGGATACTTGTTCCTGTAGTATAAAGGACACATGGACAAAAACTAGGGGGGGTGGAAATGGAGGTAGGTGGGGAGGGCTGGGTGGATGGGCTGGGATGGGTGTAAAAGATAGAAAACTGCACTTGAACAACAATTAAAATAAAATTTAAAAAATTGTAGGATAATACATTTGTGTTATTTTAAGTCACTAAGTTTGGAGTAATCTTTGTAGCAGTCATAGAAAAATAAATACAATGACTAGTCAAATTCTTGACTAGGCCCTAATTTTCCCATAATTTCAAGAAAAAGATTGGATCATATCTAATGTACTGTAGCTACAATATTCTGAATCTAGGGGGCAGGATCAAAGGATAAAGAGGGACAGGTAAAGGAATCCCGATGTTCTTAGAATTTGCTGCTGCAACTGGCTTTGTTTTTACCAGATCTCAAAATATTCTTTCTTAGAAATCTGGTATTAGTGGTCCTCAGATCTCTGGTCGGAGTTGAGAGAACCTAAACTATAAAGTGACACAGATAAAAGGAAGATTCTTCCTTGGAGGGAGTTAAGTAGTTAAAAACTTGATAGAGAATGTAAAGCACAGACCTGAATTTTGAGAATCCCTATTCTGTGCAGGATTAGTTTCTCATTTTCCCAAACCAGCTCTCCAAGAGGTATCTTCTAACCTCCCTTCTACCACTGGATATTGCCCTGGGAGAGGTATGCAGTTATGGCAGCCTTCAAACCAAAGGTGGCAATACAAAGGTGGCACACCAATTAGGTATGGGCTGTGATTGGAGACATCCAAGAAGCTCTGCAACCTGGACTGCAAAAGTACAGGAGTATTAACAAGTCCACCATGAATTATAGGTAGCTAGAAGATGAGATCAAGAGTGATAGTCATTGAACTAACACAAACCAATCAAAAGAGATGCCTATTGTAGACTAGGAGTCTAGGACCCCTGCAACACTAGACACCAATATTTTTGTTGAAGGACCATGAGGTGGTCTGGTGAGCTCTGAGAAATAGGCCAGGACAACCATTTTTCTTCTTGCTTAAAATGTTTGTAAAGTATGGCAATAAGAACCAACTGAGAACACATCTACCACTTCCCTTAACCCCACTCTGACTTTGCTCATCCCTGGATCTACATCTCTCCCTCCCCAGCCCACCTACCCTTCTCATCTCCAGGGTCTTTCACCATTGCCTAAACTGTAAACCATAGCAAGTAGTGGTTGCAAGGATGAATTTCCTTAGGACAAGGTATATCATGGAAAGTGTCAGTTGTAAATTTTAAATCCAAAAAGAATGAATAGAAGTTGTGACATTGCCCTTACCTGGCCTAGTACTGGTATCCCCAAGGTAGCTATGCTCTTCAGTGGTCCAGGCCCAGGATGAGTTCACTGTGGGTGTTCCTATGAAAACAGGCTATTAGGATCTGAGAACCAGTTACATCCTGGAACTGGAATGTAGAGAGCAACTGTAAAGTTTGGGATATTTCTCTGGACATCTGTACTGAGCTTCCCAGAATTTCTGGCCATGTCATTGATCACTTGTACTAGGAGATGAGTACAAGTTTATTACTTCCTTAGTTAACTACTGTTGGAAGTGGGAAGAATGTCCAAATACGGGAGGTAACATATTCAAAGTCCCGCAGCAAGTGAGACTATGGGCAGAAGTCTTCAGTTTTCTCTTTTCCCATGGGATTATTCTATCTCCTTACTTTTGCTTCAGAAGTTCTCACAAAGAAGAATATATATATTCATGGTACTACCTTTTCATAACCCTTAAATCCTTGCTATCTTTCTTTTATTTTTATTGCATTATTGCTATGTTCTCTCTGAGGAATCCAGAGACCTCTTGTTCACTATATAATGTCATTGGACACCCCCCCTTGGCTTTCATGACACCATTTCAGACCTCTCAGTTCAAAAAAACCTTAGTAAAACTTACTTGCCAAAGGGGATTGCATGGTTGTAGGTGCCTCACTCTGTTTTTTTTGTGACTTTGAGGAGTCTGTAAAGGAAAAGTAGCTCAGTCAAGGTCCCCAACACCCTTGAGAGAACAGAAATGACCTAGAAAAATTGAAAAGTAAGTAAAGGCTGGTAAGGTCCACCATTGGACCTATCCCAACAATTCTCTCATGATGGTAAAAATTTGTGTGGTACCTCTTTATACTTAAAATCATTCTAAGGCTGCATTATTCACCCAGGGTTCATAGACACAAAAGAAATGTGTAGGTAGAGTGCAGAGGGTCTTTTAAATTGGATGGGAAAAACAGACTTTGTTTTTAGTAATGTTAACTAATTTTTGGCTGTTTATTCTCTTTAGAGAATTACAAAGTATTGCAAAGAAGGTGGCTGTGGGTAATGTCAGTGGAAATGGTAGATTAATAACCCCTGAATATTTACCTGTTCATAAATGCACAAAATGACTGGCAAAACTTTTATAATCAGCTTCCTTTTTAGAATTTTGGAAATTAGCCAAATGCTTGCATGGTCCAAGAAACACTCCATTCTTGTTAAGAACGTGCCCATTTCATGGCATTTTAACTTATCTTAGCCCCATTATCTCTCAACAGTCCAGTAGTAGCCTTGAAATAAAACCCAATTCCAGGTACTGCAGTAAACAGAAAAGATTTAATTCCCAAACAATTGTCATTATTTGACTTGTGTAACAGTTTCTTAAAAGACCTTATTCAAAAGGCTTGTCTTTATTGGTCAGTCAGTGCTAAAACTCTCCCCAGAGAGAAGAATTTGTCACACAGCTGCTTGAAGAAATGAATAACAGTTGACAGAAACAAGAGCATAACAAAAAAACATTTTTTTAAACCGAGGAATGAGATATCCATAGGGACTTTGAAAAACACACATACATAGAGCTGTGCACATACTCAGGAAATACGTGAGAAGGCCATAATTTTTTACCTTTGTCTAGCCTGAAGGCTCTGAAAAGCAGGAAATGAAGGCTATGAGACAGTTATAAACTTCCTAGGTAGGTGTTTAAGATAATTTTAAAAGGCAATAAAGCCCTTTAGTGAAGACAGGGAAATTTCTTGGTTCTAGGTATCTAAGGAAATCTTTATTCAGTTATTAGCATGCCACTAGGGTAACCCAGTAGAGATGTGGTGGCCATTCATGACAATGAATATAGAAGACTATACAGAATAAGTTCAGAATAGCCATGAAATGAACAAACAGCAACTAGTATAACAAGTAGTGCCAACAACAAGTGCTGGTAAGAGAGAGAAAAAAATAGATTTGCAGAGAAGCCATATTATATTTAAAAAGTCCAGTTTTCAAAGAAAATATGAGACATGAAAAGAAAGTAGAAAGTATTGGTTATAAACAGGCATAAAATAAGTAGAAATGGTCCCTGAGGAAACACAGATATTGGAAGTACTAGAAAAATATTTTAAAACAACTATTTTAGCCCTGGCTGGTGTGGCTCAGGGGACTGAGTGCTGGCCTATGAACCAGGGGATCACTGGTTCGATTCCCAGTCAGGGCACATACCTGGGTTGTGGGCCAGGTCCCCAGTGGGGGACACATGAGAGGCAGCCACACATCAATGTTTCTCTCCCTCTCTTTCTGCTTTCTTTCCCTTCTCTCTAAATATAAACAATTTTAATAAAAAAACAACTATTTTAAATATGTTTTAAAAATTACAGAGAATCACGTCTAAAAAGCTAAGAGAATGAGCACAATTCAAACCAATTAGAGAAAATCAATAAAGAGACAGAAATTATAAAACAGGAAACACCTAGAAATACTGGAGTTGAAAAGCACAATAATTAAAAGGAAAAATTACTAATGGGGAGAAAAATATGCTAGAGCAAATTTTAACAGGCAGAAAAAAAATCTGTAAATTTGGAGATATGACAGTTGAAAATGAGCCACTTCAAGGAATAGAAAAAAAAAATGAATGACAAAAAATGAGCAGCTCCTCAGAGATCATAGGACAACATCAAGTATACCAAAATACAGGCAATGGGAGTTCTAGGAAAAAAAAGATTTTTAAAAAGGCAGACATAATATTTTATTTTTTTATCTTCACCTAAGGATATGTTTATTGATTTTAGAGATAGCAGAAGGAGGTGGGGGAAAGACAGAAAAAGAAACATCAATGTGAGAGAGAAACATTGATCAGTTTCTTGTCATACACACCCTGACTGGAACCTGCAACCTAGGTATGTACCCGGACCAAGAATCAAACCCGCAATTTTTTTTGGTGTATGGGATGATGCTCCAACCAACTTAGCAACCTGGCCAGGGTAGACATAATATTTTAGAAAATAATGTCAAAGAATTCAAATTGTATGAAAAATATTTAATCTGCAGGTAGAGAAGCTCAATAAATTCTAGGTAGGAAAATTACCCAAACCTAGACACATAATGAAAGTCAAAACCTAAGAAACAATATTGAAAGCAGAAAAAGAGAGAAGCAAGTCATTATACAAAGTGATTCTCAGTAAGATTAATTGTTGATGTCTCATTAGAAATATGGAGGCCATAAGACACTGAGACAACATATTTAAAGTACTCAAAAAAAAAAAAACCCAAACCCACGTATCCATCAACAATTTTATATTTAGCAAAACTACCCTTCAAAAAATGAAGAAATTAAGGGACACTAAGATAAACAATAGCTGGGAAAATTTATCACTACCAGATCTGCCTTATGAGAAATTTTAATGAAAATTCTTCAGGCTGAAATGAAAAGACACTAGATGGTTACTTGAATCAATGTGAAGAAATAAAGCATCAGTAAATAAAACTGCATAAGTATAGATTGTAAATGTGTTTTTGTTTGTAATACTTTTTTTCTATCTGTTTGAAAAGATAACTAAGAACCCTGAAACACCAATCCAAAAGAACCTATGCACCCCAATGTTCATAGCAGCACACTTTATAATAGCCAAGTGCTGGAAGCAACCTAGGTGCCCATCAGTAAATGAATAGATCAAAAAACGATGGTACATTTACACAATGGAATTCTATGCAGCAGAAAGAAAGAAGGAGCTCCTACCCTTTGCAACAGCATGGATGGAGCTGGAAAGCATTATGCTAAGCGAAATAAGCCAGGCAGTGAAGGACAAATACCATATGATCTCAACTTTAACAGGAACCTAAACAACAAAACAAACAAACAAGCAAAATACAGCCAAAGACACTGAAATAGAGAACAGGATGACAGCAACCAGAGGGGAAAGGGGAGGGAATTTCAGGGGAAAAGGGGAAGGAACAAGTATAAAAGACACATGGACAAAAACTGGGGGGGGGGTGGAAATGGGAGGGAGGTGGGGAGGGATGGATGAGTGGGCTGGGATGGGTGTAAAGGACAGAAAAGTGTACTTGAACAATGATTAAAATAAAATTTTAAAAATAAAAATAAAATATAACTACATAAAGCAATAATTATAAATCTGTGTTGATGTGATTATAATGTATAAATCTGTTATAATAACAGTATAAAAGAGGAAGAATATAGTTATATAGAAACAAAAATTTTGTATGCTATTGAAATTAAGTGGGCATAATCCAAACTATATTATAGTATACTAAGAATCAATGGCAGTCTCTTTGGTAATGACCAAGTAAATAACTAAATTTATATGGTAGAAGAATGCAGATCCAAGATGATGGCAGATTAGGTGGAAGCTACACTAATCTCCACCCAGGAATAAACTGGAATTACAACCAAATTATAGAAAAAATAATCCTGAATAACCAGCTGAAGACTGGTTGAAGAGAGGTCTTTTATTTTTAAAGATTTATTTATTTATTTTTAGAGAGGGAAGGGAGGGAGAAAGAGAGAGAGAAAAGCATCAATGTGCAGTTGCTAGGGGCCGTGGCCTGCAACCCAGGCATGTGTCCTGACTGGGAATCAAACCTGCGATGCTTTGGTTAGTGGCCGTGCTCAATCCACTGAGCTATGCCAGCCAGGGCGAAGAGAGGTCTTATCACCAAGAACATACAGAAGAAGCCACATAGAGACTGGTGGGTAGTACAGAGGTGCAAGAGGGCTGGCCAGACTTCCAAGAAAAGCAGATGAAGTTCTAGAGGGATATCTGAGGTGTGAGGGGGGTTCACCCTGAGAAGTATGGGGTCTGAACACCAAGCCAAGCTTCCTAGCCTAGAGCACAAGAACCAGGAAAGGTGCTCATATAACATCTGGCTGTGAAAAGCAGCAGAGTTTCTGTCCACCAGGAAAAGATAGCTAGAGAGACAGCCAACCTCCTAAAGGGCCAAAACACAAAATTTTGTTCACAGCCACTCACCCTGGGCTCCAGCAGAGGCCACTGGGTATGTTCTGAGCCTCTTTTTTCAAACGGACTAGAGCGTTTGAAAAGATTCTGGGATTGGAGTTTCTGGGGAGAGAGCTGAAAGTTCAGCTGCCAGGATCCCTATGCTGAGTCATTCCCCCATACTAAAGAAGCCATCTTTCTTGGGCACTCTACTCCTCTCCAAGTGGCATCAGCCTGGGGGGAAACAATAGCCCTACCTGCTGAAATCCCTCTTCTCTACCCTGTGGAGTTTAAGCCCTGCTGAGCAGTATAGCCAGAGGCTCTTTCAGTTACTAAGCCTAACAGGCAACCTGTAGGTGAAGGCAGATCTCTGGGTGGTTTGAGAATTTTGCTGACACACTCTCAGGCCTGGTGGTGGTAAAAGCCATCCTTAGTGTGTAGCTTGGTCTTTTATGCACTCACCCAGGCCCAGCAGAGGGAGCCACAAGCTGTGGGTCACTGATAGCTCCAGATTCATAACAAATTCATAACACATTGCCCAGGGTCAGTCACAGGCAGCGTCTAACATTGGTCTCCACAGAGTCCCTCCAAAGAGGCTCAGAACATACCCAGTGGCCAGCTTCAAACAAGAGCAGAGCAGGATACAATAAGCTTAAAAAGCAGCATATCCACAGGAAGATTTCAGCAGGCACCAAAAACCACTGAGTTGAATTCTGTTTTGTGCGATGAGCACCTGCACAGCAGCTTGCACACTGTGTTGGGGGTTGAG